TAGGATAAACAATTCTCTTGGGCTCTTCTTAACGACACAGTTGCTATATCTGGTTATTCAAATTCTGAGAAAACTTATAAGAACTTGGATTTTAACGGTGGAGACATGGATAGCTGCGCTATAAAATGAGCAAATATAAAACAATAAAACAACAGAAAAAACAGTTTATGTAATTTATTATATTTTTCTTGTAGCTATAACTTCTTTTATATTTGTTACTATTTTTTAAACTAAAAAAACTTAGATTTTTTTAAATAAAGTGTTTTATATATAATTTCTCAGTTATTGTTTTTTTTAATTTTTTTTTTTTTATAAAAAATTTGTTTATAAGAAACTAATACTAGAAGCCCCAAAATCTTAAAAAACTTCAGTTCTATGGTACTTTTCATTAAGAAACTTATCATTTATATTGTGGCGGTTGTGACATTTCTACTGCAAAATATGAAAATATAAGCAAGGAACTTAATAAGCTTTTTTTTTTTTTTGGTAATGTGTACATTTGGTCTCGTACTACTATCTGAAAAGTTTACAGTAAATTTTATGCTATAGTTGCATCGCTATGTCAAAATAAATTCAGTCGCGGTCGTGACAGCTACAAAAACCGAAACAGAACTTGTTTAAGTAACTTTGTTTCTTTGAAGAAAACTTTCAACAAATTGAAAATTCAATTTTTTAAATTATTTTTAAAGGATGTTAGGTTAACTTTAATATAATTTTTTTGTGTTTTTTTTTTGTTCATGTTTTACTTAAAATAGTAGCTAGCAAAAAGTCAAAAATGTTACTTTGTTTATAATTGAATTGGTTGCGTAAGCTTTAATATATTACAAAAGTTTTGCATCCCTCAAAGATAAAAATAAAAGATATAAAAATGGAACTGTTTAAAAAAATTACCTTTAAAAGTAATTCAAGGAAAACTTTGACGCATGTTTTGCTGCGATCATTTTTATCTGTTAAATAAGCAACCATATTTTTGAAATCTTTACCATAAACAGCAACAGTGAAGATTGTTATTTGTCTCCAATAAGCACTTTGAACTTATTCTTGATAAATACAGCTATAGTTTTGGCTAAAATCAAAGTATTAATTTACCATTCATCATCTATTTGGTGGCAATAAACAGACACTTGGAGACGTTTAATTAAATGATGAATTCATATTTATTCATAGAGGTAACATATTCAAAAACTCTGTATATGTTGTATTCAAAGATTGTTTGATCAATGCCTGCTGTAGACGATTTGTAACCTTTTCTTCGTAGAAATTTATGTAACTGACTTCAATGCATTCTTTGTTTTACTTTTTGGATGGTGGTTAGCATTTGGACAGTTAGCAAAAAAAATACATGATAGTAAGAGGCAATCTGGAGTGAGAGGGCTGCAAAAAATCCATTTTTTTGTGTTATAAGGTTTAAAATTAAGGTTTGAGGATAAAGAGTTGCATATATTAATAACATTTTTCATTAATTAGACAACGGCAGGTTTAAAAAGGCGTCTCTGAATATGTGAGTATTTGAACTGGACGAAGTGCACATAATTTGGAAAATTTCGCTACCAAATTCTCTTGCGTACAGGACATAATATTCCCTTAATTTAAGTAACAAGTAACGTTTTTAAAAAAAAAAGTCTTTCATACCTAGAGTCCATCTAGACATTTCTTCGCGATTATAGTACATGATTGAATAAACTAGAAGATAAGTGGATGTGTTTTTTTATCTTAGATACCAGCAAGCATATAACGTTATTTGAGTCTTGCGAGTTGATTGATATATGGTTGAAAAATAAAAGATCTAAATTTCAACGTTATTTCAACGTAAGTTCAACTTTAAAGAAAAACGTTGAAAATTTCAAAGTTTTTCTTTTAAGTTGATCTTACGTTGCATTAAAAATTGTATATAAAATATTAAAAAATGTTATGTTGTAACAAAATTTGTATATAAAGTGTTTAAAAACAAAATCTCATGCTAATTTACGCATATATAAAAACTACAAAACTCTATTTGAAAAAATTCGTAAAAACTTAAAAAAAAATTATTACTCTAATCTAATCACTAAATATAAAAAAGACTCAAAACAAATATGGAAAATAATGAAAGCAATATAACGGGAAAACAGAAAATCTGCTCAAATCAAACATAAATAATTATCGCCCTATTTCTATCCTTCCTACGTTTTCAAAAATATTAGAAAAAAATATCTTCGAAAAAACATACAACTACCTGGTTTTAAATAATTTACTACATAAAAATCAGTTCGGCTTTAAAAAAAATAGTTTGAACAATAAACAACAACTGAACAAGCCATTATTCATTTTACACGTGAAGTCTCGAATTCTTTTGCTAAATCACAATATACACTTGATGTTTTTGTCGATTTATCAAAGGTTTTTGATACAGTCAATCATGATATCTTACTTTAAAAACTTGAGTTTAACGGATCAACTGGTAAATGATCAAATGGTATAAAAGCTACTTGTCAAATAGAAAGCAAATCGTCTATCACGGAGAAGAATTGCTTCCTAATAATCTTCAAAATAAAACATTAATTGAAATAAAATGTGGTGTTCCACAGGGTTCTATCCTTGGCCCACTTCTCTTTTTAGTATACGTCAACGATCTAAATAAGGCCTCAAATCTTATAAGCATCATGTTTGCCGACGATATCAATTTATTTTTATCAAACTAAGACTTTAACAAACTTTTTTTAGATATGAATAAAGAACTTAATCAAGTTTCTAATTGGTTTAAATGCAATAAATTAACCTTAAATATTGACAAAACAAAGTGAATCCTTTTCCACTCCTCAATAAAAAACGTTTTTTGCCTTATAATTTACCTAAACTTTATATTGATGAAGTAAAAATAAAAAAGATTCCGTTTTAAAATTCCTAGATATTTATCTTGACGAAAATATGACATGAAAAGCTCATGTTGATAATATATCAACAAAATTTGCAAAAAGTATTGGTAACCTCTATAAGGCCAGAAATTATCTAAACAAAAATAATTTGAAACAACTATACTACTCATTTATTCATAGCTATATAAACGATGCAAATATTGTACAGGTAAAAGTAAGTTGCAACGTCTTTATCGCCATCAGAAATGCGAATAATATATTTTTTAAATCGTTTTTCAAATAGAAAACCTCTATTTAAAGATATGAATGTATTAAACGTTTATGAACTTAACTTCTACAATATTTTATGTTTTACGTTTTGTTGTACGAATAAACCCTTATTTCATGTTTTTAAAGATCTATTTACCTTTAAAATAAAGAATAAATATAGTTTGCGAAATAATAACTATTTAAAAGAACCCATTTGTCAAACAAAGTTTAATCAATTTTGTATAGATTATCGAGCACCTTATATTAGGGAGGGTCCAAAATTCTATATTTCTTGTTTAACCAGTTATTCTTAATTAATTTTTTAAGAAAAGTTTAAAAAACAATTTAGTTTTTGCTAATTTTTTATGGTTGACCTTCTACTTCTATTTTAAAAATTTAAAGATATAAAAACTGAAAGTCTTTGCAAAAGTTTCTTTGCGTATAAAGTTACGCAACTTTTCTTTCAAATTTATGCTATTCAAATTTTGATTGGATAAATTTGATTTTAATCGTTGCGTTTTAAAAACAAAGTTTAATCTGAAGTCTTTTTCTGAAAAAACGTTTTAAATAAGTAAAACAACAGATTGCTTCAAAAAAAAAGTTTTATCTGAAGTCTCTTTCTAAACAAAACGTTTTAAGTAATCAAAAAGACAGATTGCTTCAAAATATCTTAATTTCCTTTTTTTATTTATTTTTAATTGTTATTCAAGCTATCAAGAAGGTTATTCAAGATTTCATTTTTTTTTTTCACTTTTCTTTAATGAAGTCAAGAATAAATCTTCTTTTAAAATGCCAGTCAGTAGAAGTTCAGTTTAATTCTAAAGTTTTAACAATTCTAAAGATAAGCAGGCTAAAGGAACACCGCTACCTATAAAAGGCTTTATAAAAAACAAACAGGGTGATCAAATTTTGAAATTTTCTGCTTTACTCTAAAACGCAAGGAATAGCTAGTTAAAAAAAAATTCTAAAAGCAGTTAATAAGTATACCTCAAAAAGGTTGAATGATCGTATCATTCTTGCTAGAGTATTTTGGCAAAAGTTAGCCTCAGGACTTCAAAAAAGAGAAAAGTATTATGTGTTTGGTTGATTATGGAATATGATTAGAATTAACTTTCTAATTAAATTTTTGCAATTGGAAAGCTTTGGAAAAAACCATTTAATTTCAACAGTAGACGTATACTTAATTATTTAAACCATATAAAAAATGAAGGTTCGCGCAGTTTAAAAATATTTTGGAGAATTATTGTCCAGTTACTTGTCCAAAAAGTTGAAACTATGGAATATAGTTGAAACCAGCAACAAAAACCAATGGATAACAATGGAAGAGCAGCAAACTTTACATCAGGTGTGCAAAGATGAGTTCTATTTTAGCTTGATTATAGTTAGAAGGGAGCCCATTTAGCTGTGAACTAGACATTATTAAAGTAGATACACTCTAAAAAAAAATCCGTTATATACAACGAATTGTATCTGTCGCTATTGCACTAACGTGAAATCCGTTAAGTTAACGAATTAAAATTTTAACGAATTGAAGTCCGTTAGGAATAGTCCGTTAAATTTACGGATTTATTTCGTTAGTGCAAAGAATAATCCGTTAATTTTAAGGAGTTATTACACTAGGCAGCAAATTTTCTGCGGTTGTTATTCCTATGAAATAAATGTGTTAATAAGTTATTTTAGTAATTATTTCGTTAAAATCACTAAAATCTAAAATTAGAGAGGCCAGAATTGTGACTTCATAACCAAATAATCCTTATATTTGTTAATGTTTGCATTTTTATTTAATTGCATTATTTTATTTCGATATTCTACATTAAAACGTTTTAACCAAAAATTGAAATATAATCAAATATTTATAATATTTAATCCAATATACTTTAAATTACAATAAAAATACTTAAAAAATTTTTTTAATACACTATACTCAAGCTAGTACATTTATATAAAAAACACACATATATATAATAGGTGTTTAAAATAAACCAATGCCAAGATAGATTTTGGTCGCTAGTTTTGGTTTGGTTGGTTTAAATAGGTTTTGGTTTTGAATACTGTTGTTACTCGTACACAGGTTCGCACTTTAAATCGGAAGGAACTCCTTAAAGATTAATATAAAATAAAATAAGGAAAATATGGAAACTTAATAACATACCTAGTATAGAACCAAAATAAAATGTTACTGGTAGCACTATAGAAAATGTTTTTGGTAATTCATTATATATAAATTTCTATTCTAAATTTTGTTATTTTAATTATTTCTGATATCGTTTTTTAAAGATAAAGTTAAATGGAACAAGTAAATTATATCTTTATTAAAATGTAAATTTAAAAAAAGTATAAAATTACCTTGACATTATCTGATAACTGAAAGACTCTATACATTTCACATACATCAATACCTATCAGGAGGAAAAGATAAAGTCTTTAACCTTTTAAAAACTATGATAAATCAAAACATGCAGACCAAAAAAAACGCAAGATTAAATATGCAGACCAAAAAAAACGCAAGTAACTATATAAAAAAATTAATTTTACAAACTTATTTAAACTTACAGTGTCATACCACTTGTCACATGTTTAAAATAGCTAATTCAAAAATAATATATAATATAGAATATAGTAGAATAATAGTTTAAAAAGTGTGATATAAACTTAGTCTTAACTAAACTAAATAAATATGCATGCCAAAAGAAATGCAAGTTAAAATATAATTTTTTTTTTAATATACTAATTCAAACTTACAGTGGGATACCACATGCCACGTGTCTAAAACAGTAAATTCTAAAATAATACAAACACATCAGATATAAACTTAGATTAAACTCAACTAAATAAATATGCAAGTTACAATATAAATTCTACAACCAATTTAAACCTACAATGTGACACTAAATGCCGTGCCTCTAAAGCAGCAAATTCTAAGATAGTATAAATAAATAAACATAAATGTTAATAGAAAAAGAAGTTAAATATAAATTTAACCTCTTTTATAATAATATAAATTTTTTAATTTTAAAACTAGTTTTAACTTACAGTGGGATAACAAATGCCATGTGTCTAAAACAAAAAATTCTAAAATAATATAGACACACCAGTATAATCTTAGTTTATGATATTGGATGCCACATGTTTAATTTGGAAATTAATAAAAATTGCAATTTATAAAAGCATATTAACTAACCATGTAAACTTAGCTGTAACTAACCTAAATAAATATACCTATCAAAGATGTTAACATTTTTAATTTTACAACTGATTTAAACTAATATGGTATGTTACTACATGTTATATGTCTAAAATATAAAGTTAAACAAGACTATAAATAATCCATTTAGTCTATATTATAGAAATGATTGTTCAACTAACCCTTTACTACTAATAAAGGATTAGTTGAACTTTTATTTCTATAATATAGACTATATGGATTGCATATATTCTTGCATAATTATCTAGATTTAGACATGAGTAACTTTCCATATATTATATGTATTAACTTACCATATATGTTATTATATATTATTTAGTAATACTAATGTCTTTTAATTTAAAATAAAATAAACCTTATTGTTAAATTTTCTGTATAAAGCTTTATATAGAAAATTTAAAATAAGAAGTTAAATAACCTTCGAAATAACATAGCGTAATTTAAATTGAATTTATCCATTTGCTTTGTCTACTAAATGTAAAGCTTTTTAAAAAATGACATATTAGACTTACTGCAACCAACTTTTATCTACGATGTAAATGTAAATGTGAGAACGCATTTCAAAACTTCATCATTTTCAAAATAAAAAGATATAATATACTGCAAAATTTTTTTTGACCGATTAGAATATTTAATCCGTTGAATTAACGAAATTTCAAAGAATCCGTAAATAGTTAATTTTACTCCGTTAATTTTCTGGTGTTTGGTAACGAATTAATACGTTAATTTGACAAAAAAGCGCAATCCGTTACTTTTTTTAACAGACTGTTTTTAGAGTGTAAAGATATGTTGAAATGAAAAAAAAGTTCAAAAAATGAGGTTCTTTATTTTAGGGATCCAATATAGGTCATTGTCGCGGAGGTCTATTTTGTTTAAATACATGATTGTTGATATAAAAATACAAACCTCCATCTTATGTCTACCAAATAACACGCTCATAACCTAGATGTTCTATAAGGAAAGTTCACGCAGTAATCTCTATCACATATGATGACTTTTATAGTTATTTTTCATTTTCAATAGTAAATAACAAGCTGTATAAATTATTTTCATATATAATGCTTAGTTTTTTTTGTTAATTATAAATGATAAGGTATATTATTGATAAATTAAACAGAAAAAGATTTCTAGTTTTCTACTTTTCTTATATTTAATGATAATAATAATTTCATCTATTTTTAATAATGCCTTTTTTTTGTCAATATATTCACTTTTATTAAAATCGAAGGAGAAGGCTAAATAATAAAAATGAAAAAAAATGATTATGATTTTCAGAATCAGCATGAAAAACTAAATAAGAAAAATTGGTTAAACTATAAAAAATCTGAAAAAAGACGAATATGGACCCCCCCTACTTATATCTGGAATAAAATTGTACAGCCTAATTTAGATTCATCTATCTCTTTTTCTGTTTTTAAAAACAAGTTAAAGAATATAATTGTTTCTACGGATAATATATTGAAGTATTTTTGAGATATTAGTTTATCCATTTCTTATTTCAAATATTTTGGATTCTTATTTTGTTATAAACTACCTGTATTATATTATATTATATTTATATTGTAATTTTTATATGGTTCTGGCGACAAGATCGATATGATCTTCTTCCAGATTCCAAGTTTATATGTTTATACTACTTAGAAATCACGAAATGTAAATAATGTAAACTAAAAAAAATTTCAATGTTAATTTAATGCTTATTTTTAACTAAAAATAAACGTTGAAAATAAACGTTGAATTAACGTTGAAATTTTCAACATTATTTTTTAAACGTTGAACTTACGTTGAAATAACGTTAAAATTTAGATAGTTAAAAATAAACGTCGAAATGAATTAAAGTTTGACGACGCAGAAGGACTAATATTTCGGTATTTAAATTAAAACTTAATATGGCACATGAATTTTTGCGTGGAAAAGTTCTTTAAAAACTTTTAATAGAAGTATTAATGCAATAAAGTAATAACGTAAAAAGATTTTATGCTATGAAAATATGTATAATTTAAAAAAATTTTATTAGAATTTGCATTAAACACAAATTTTTTGACAGTCTTTTTACATTGTGTACTATACTTAGGTACGTGGAAATTCGCGTTTTACGGTACCGAATTTCGTGCTAAAAACCTAAAAATTTGATATCAACATAGATTATTTTTAGAAACTAGAATAGTTAAACTTTATTACTGTTAGATTTATTATTTTATTCTAGATGGCTTTATTATTGAGTTGACGTCTAAAACTTTGTTGTACCTTGGGCATGAAATTAATGTTGAAGTTATGCTCTTTTTTTTCTACAATATTATTTTTTTTATATTTTTCTCTTATCTATGCACCTGCCAAATTTTATTAAAAAATATGTTTTTTTTTGTTTTTTTTGTATTTATTTAAGTGCTCCCAGAAGTTCTTACGGTCTTATCATAGAGCACCGCGGGAGAGCATTTAACAGAAAGTTCACGCCTCCTTCCACTGTGCCACGGCTGCTGTTGTAGCAAGGTGTCTTTTCAGGCGAATGAAAATTAGGCACTTTTAGTACCTAATTTTCATTCGCCTGAAATGGTCGCGGGAGACGAGGGGTTATTTAAACATTTTTTATATTCAATTTAGATTAAATAAAATTTTCATTAAAAAATGAAAAATAATGACAGAGATAAAGGTTTTCATTATTGTTTCCAATTTATTTAAATTTTGAAAAAAATCATTAGATAATAAGATGTTTTTTACTTCTTTGTTGTTGTACTTTAAATAACCAATCAGATTTGAAAAATTTGTTTGATGCTAGGGTGTGTTAAAACATCATCGACACATTTACCATGAGTTTTACATTCACCTTCCATATTTGGTGGTTATCTGTTATTAATTTATAGAACCTTTTTTATACAGTAAGAAACTTTGTTTTGGGACTTTAGGAAAAAACTATGTTTTGGGACTTTAAAAATCTCTATCGTTAACATACATCTTTTATATAGTTTAGTATAATATAAATTTAAAATAATTTTTTTGTATATTTGAACTATTTATGTCTTGAAAAAAGATTTTTTTCTAAAAAAAGTGTTCAATTTCTTATGTTAAAGGTGGTAATTTGTAGCCCCCTCTGTCCCCTTGGATACGCCCCATGGTTAGTGGTCAATATAAATTTTTAACCCACTCTTACACCTATCTTTTGATATCAAGATATTTACATTTTTATAAAAATTTTTAGCCTAAATAGTCAAACAAAGTTATGACTATTTATGTTAAAAAAAACTTTTTTGTGACCACAGTTTCTTCCACAAATCCATATATCGAAAAATCGGTACTTAAACTATCGTAACTTTTGAAGGGATAGTTCGATTTTGATAATTTTTTTACATTTAAAATACTGTATTGATCTTCTTTCCAATAATATATAACAGTATAACATTTAGGCAATTTGAAACTTTTGCTTACGTACCTACTATACTTTACATTGCATATTTTATATAAAAATGGCAATTTAGAGATGAATATTTAAATCATTTTAAAATGTTTTTATATATATGTGCGCTATATATATAAATCATTTAAGGATGTTTTATATATACATAACGCACCCTCTATAGCTGTAGCTGTACCCTCTAACCTTAAATCATTACCTTATGTTTTCATATTTAAATGCAAACATTTTAACATCAAATGAAAGAAAGAATTCCAGGGATAGACATGAAAAGAGTGCACAAAAGAGTATTATTTTGAGGCTCTCCACCTAGGGTATGTTAGGTTAAAACTCAAATAGTATGTTTTTATAAAAATAAATAGCATTTATATAAAACACAAATTTTACATTAAAAAACAAACTCATAACCATATACAAAATTTTAATATACAAAAAGACTATATACAAATATAAACATCATCAATATTTACATACATACTATACATACACCAATCAATAATGACTATTTTACTCTTGGAGTTTTTATTGATCTGTCAAAAGCCTTTGCATGCAGGATTATATTTGGTGCCCACAGAACTTTTCAATGTGAACCTCTTTTAAGGAAGCTCGTTGCCCTAAGTGTCTATAAACTTAATATACACCAAGTTTTACAATTCATGTTTAAAACTAAACATGAACTCTCTCCTATTGTATTTCAGTTTTACTTTAGTGAAATCTCGCACTAAAGTATTCCACTAAATTTTCAATTAATAACTTTATTGTTCCAAAAACTAAATTCTTACAAAATCCAATACCGCGGACCGTTTCTATGGAAACATTTTTCAAAATTTATCACAAAAAATGATAATGTTCAACATATCTCTTAAAAAAAATTCAGAAAAGAGTCTAAGAATCTCTTATTACAAAAAGACTTTGATTTAAAATATCTCTGTTAAAAATAATACACAAATAATATAAATTATCTAAAAAAATAGTTATTGACACTACTTCCCTTTTGTTGCAATTTTAATCTAATTTAATTTTTTGTTGAAAACTTTAATACTTTTAAATTATTGTTAATCTTTGATATAATGCGTTATATTTCAACACTAATATTTATATTATGTTATTAGTTATATTGTAACTAACGTATTCAAAATTCTTGTTATGTACTTAGCTACTCTTCATTTTTTATATTAACTGACGATTTTTTAATGTAAATTTTATGATGGGGCTTGATGATAAGACAATTTATGTCTTCTGCTTGCTCCAGTTCTCTTATTTATTAACACGAATAATTTCATTGTAAAATTTAATATATGACAAAACTCTTTGCTTACAAAAAAAATAGGTGCATATAGATTCACTAAAAGGTAAATCTGTATGCACTTATTAATAAGTATATGTATATTTGCTTAAAACGTCACCATTATATTTATTTTGGTATTCTCTTTTGCGAGCTAAAAAATACAAATTTTAATGAAACATAGGCAATATTACAGCTTCTAGTTAAAAACTAATTAACTAGGTCCAAAATTAAAATGAAATATTTTTACCATTCTGCTGCTTTATTACCACTAAAATAAAAGTTAATTCAAAAGAGTCAATATTTTTTATCATTAAATATCAGAAAAAAACAGAAAATCAAAAAGAAATACCTTTTCTAAGCTCCAATTCTTTTTTTGCTAAATACAGATCAACTCTTTTTATACATTGTATAACAACAAACTTTTTCAGACAAG